GCGGCTTTACATTTTGGCCATGGCGACGCGTTCGACGGCTTTAAAATGGCCAACAAAAACGCTGCGTCCCAAACATGGCCTAAATACATATAGTAAAAGACTAAAGTTAAGTTCACTTCGTTAAACAAAGACGACTATGTTGGCTGCCAAAGGTGGCCAGAGCGGGATAGCCAAAAGCTCAAACCTTAACCTAAACCCAAAACCAAAAAACCCCCCAAAAAAAAGGAACAGTAATGAAATACAAAAAAAAAAAAAAAGAAGAAGAAAAAAACGCGACAGTTTTCCGCTGCTGGCGTTGAGCAATTTGCATTTTTATTATATTAGAACTCGGTTAAAGTCAATACACCCAAAAGAAAAAGAATAAGATGAAGAAGAAGAAGAAGATGGGGAACACTCTCATTGTCTCGACTATTTAAATTGACAATAAACCGACACACACACTCTCCCTATGTGTGCGTGTGGTAAAAAAAAAAGGCACGCGGCAGCCGAAGAAAAAAGTAGAGGAAGAAAATGGGGCACATAATGAAATATCAAGCCAAGTGGACCAAACTCTGCCGCTTCTGCTGCTGCTGTTGCTCCTCCTGCTAAACAACTCGCAAGACCAAACTGCAAATAAATTAAAATTGAAAATTTCAAAGAGCTGTCCAAAGAAAGGAAACAACGGCGACAGCAGCAGCACCACCACCACCACCACCAACAACAACAAAAACCAAAAGGGAGAAAAAAAGGGTTCAAATTGTCGCACGATTTGAAAAGTAATTTTAAATTATTTTGTATTTAATTTGACAGCTGAGAGTGATTTATTTCAGCTGCTTAACAGCAGCAAACTCACAGTCAGAGCTTAGGCAAATTTCGAGAGGCACTCAGGGATTTAGTTATATATTTATATAGATACATGTATGCATGTATGCTGGGCATATGTATGGCATTTTATTAGTTTTTGAGTTCATCTAGATAAAGTTGTCACTGAGACGTTTGTTGGTTGTTGAACGTGTTGAGCATATTGCCTGTATTCATATTTATGTATGTAACTGATTTCGATTCATATGATATGCAGCCGAATTCGGTTATAACGACGCTCAAGGCACCGTCGGTATATCCGGAATACGCTTTAATCGTATAAGTTTGCTCATATAATTTTGTCTGGGAAACAAAGTTTTCGTTCACTCCATTCGCGTGATCAACCGAAAAAATCATATTCACTCACTCTCTCTATCTTTCTCTCTCTCGCAATCTGACTCACTCTCTCTCTATCTTTCTATTTCTCTCTCTCTGAGCAAGTGTCCTCGTTTGTTTTCGTTTTCTGTTGAGCGCCTTGGGTCACACTCTTTGTCTGTTCCTCTTTTAACGAACATAATTTCGGGAGCGATACGATCTACATTCTCACAATGCATTGACTCGAAAAGTCACACACACACACATGTATACATGCATTTCACGTACGCTCTCAATGTGTTTAGCGAGCGCAATGCTTGCCTACATACCAACACATATGCAAAAGTCTTTATGCTGTCAGTTGCAAGCCGAACCTAAACGAACTTATAAAAGAGCCGACTCAATCGATTGCTCACTGAGTTTCTCAAGGTGTGAGTGGAAAACAACTATTTGCAGACACCGAGAAGCGATCAAGAGTTATTTGCGAGCTAAGAAGTATATGCATACATGCATATATGTTTATATTTATATGTTTATGTTTATTTTGTATTTATGTTATGTTTATATATTTTATCTTTATATATTTATGAAGTATATGCCTATATTTTTT